GAATGCAAAGAGGCTCACCACTGACTCTGGAGTGCTCAACTGGACCAAAGACGTGCTGGATGCTGATCCTGGGTACCTGCGTCTGCATCATAATAAGATGCAGGCCAACTGACATCAGTACATGGAATGTACAAGTATGCGAGCTGGACCGCTAAACAACAACTTAATCTTGAAATGAGTACAAAGGAACTCTTACCTTGGCTCTGTTCAACTCATGAATAACTGAACTCAAAATATAAAGCAATAAGACACATGCAATATATAAAGCTTGTAAAACTATTAAAACATGACGTAAAATTCATATTTATAATATCATAAAAATACCATGCTTCCTTTCCAAGTCTACTTGTGCAATGCATGAATGAAGTCCCATACCCCCATCCACACTAAGCAGAACTTCTCGAGGAACCAAGCTCTTTTTACTGCTGTGGGAGTTTCTCAAACCGACAACCACCACTATGAAACTAAGTGGTGATACAACGTTTTACCTCACGTTGCCTAAGGACCATCCTATACCTTGCCGTGACATAGGAAGCTAACTTTACCAAGTGAATCCACTAGCTTAATCTTACGTGATAAACTAAAAAGTATGATCCGAGAAATCCCATGTTTGGCTACATGGCTCTTATGGAGAGTTGAGTTAATATGAACTCGTGTCCCCAATTCGGTGCTCAAGACTATTCCCAAAAATAATTTAGCTCATAAGTGTTTTAAACACATCTTTCTTTATTTGAGATAATTACTCAAAACTACCCTCTTAAAAGAGGTAATTGCTTTTGAAAACTCTTTCAAAAAAGAACATCTCAAAACCATATTTTAATATGATCATTGATGACTCAGGATATTCATACTGCTTAAACATTGATGGTATATTTAGAGACCATACCGTTTAAACATTGATGACATACTCGATTTGTCATACTAATCATGTTTTTAGAAACTCTTTTGCAAAACTCATCTTTTATCAAAAAGAGATAGTACTCAACTGCTCAAAACTCTTTTGGAAATCTCAGTTTCCTCTCATCTTAAATGTGAACAGTTATAAACTTCTTTGGGAATACTTAGTTCCCTAATAACTTTTGAGAAATGAACTCAACTCTTTACTCTTGGCTTAACTCGAAACTCTTGACTTAACTCAAAACTCTTGACTTAACTGGAAACTCGATACCCTTTACTCGACTTGAAACTCTATACTTAACTTGGAACTCTATGCTCTTTACTCAACTTGAAACTCTATGCTCTTTAATCAACTTGAAACTCTATACTTAACTTGGAACTTGAGCCTTAAAAAGAAGTTATAACGTTCAATGAAGACTCTTGGAGAACCTTAAAGACTTGCTTTGACTTACTTAACTTCTAAGCTTGACTTCAAACTTCACTTGACTTGGAAACTAACTTTCCTCGAATTGGAATTATGAATTCAAGGTGTTTGATCACATGTTATGGAGGGATTCTTGATGTTTAGACGTACTTTGGAGTGTCGGAAACAACTATGAAACATAGGTATAATACCTAGGAACATGCATGAGAAAGTGTGAAAAGAATGGGGGAACATGGCGTCCTTGACGCTCTGCAAGGCGCGGAGCGCCAGCCCTTGAAGCTCAGAAAGGGGCTGCTGGCGCTCTGAGAGACGTGCCACGCCAGGGGTAAAACCTCAGAACCCCTGTTGGGGCGCGCTGGCTGGCGTGATGCCCCAGCCTTTTCCCCAAAAATCCGACTCTTCTCCTTCATTTTTTCCAACTCTAAACCTTCTAAACTTCAATGGATCCAGCCCCAAACATTTAGAATCATAAATTCCTCAACATACAATAGATTTCAACCCAAAACACAACCGGAAACATGTCCCAAATCAACTAGAACTTCAACACAATCACAACCAACAACTTCAACAAATACAACCAACAACTTCAACAACATAACCAATCGTTTCTCAATAATAAAAATGAGTTTGGCATGTGGGGGAAAGAACCAACCAACACTATGAACTCACATACCTTAATAGGGATCACCCCCGAAGAAAACACGACGATCTTTAACGAAACCTAGCTTGATCTTCTCTTTTTCCTCTTCTTCTCCTCTTCACTCTTAAACCCTTACTTTCACTCTTTAAAATGAGAAAAATTGATCAAAATCAGTCCAACACACTCATATATATCCAAAAGAAAAGGCTAGGGAAAAGACCAAAATACCCTTACAAATTTCCGGACGGATTCCCTGCCAACTGCGCAACTTCCAAAGGGAATAATTCACTCATACAAAGTCGAAATTGAGCAAACTTGGTGGCGTTGGAAAGATCATTCCACGAGCTTCGCAACCATAACTGTAACTACACCTAACTCATCCGGAGATAGGAGTTATGACTTTCAAAGTTGGCCAAAACTCACTGTTTTCCCATACTTAACCAAATTTCCAGATTTTAATTCTTTCCAAAAATAATAAATTCTAATTCTAAGCCTCTTCATAGCTATTTCCAATTGTCGGATGTTACATCTTTGTACTTTACTTCTTCTTACTTATTTTTTCTGGGTCTTCAAAATATATTTTAAAAGTATGTTTATAAATTATGATATGATAAATGTATAGCTATACTTTACACACTCAAATTGGTTAAATTATGCCCACTTAAAAGTAAAGAAATGAAAATTATTTTCATAAAACTCTATAAATGCATAACAATATCATACAAACTAACGAAAATCTATTCACTATCATTTTTAATATCCTATTTTAGACTTTATAGAATTTGATTTGGCTTGCCATGATACCCATATTTTGCTCATATTTATCCATATCTTATAGATTAATAATAGATTAAAATGAATATTTACCTAATTAAAATAAATGATCTAACTCATTAAAATATAAGTTAAATGAGATGAATTTATTAAAACGAGTTGAAATGGTCAACTCTACTAGCTGATTTTTATGAATATAAGCTAAATGAGATGAATTCTCAAGTTTGCAACAATATATAATTGCATATAACGACAAAATGACAAAAATATGCATAGGAAACACAAGTATTTTGCAAGTTCTACAAACGGAATTCATATGGACTTAGCAAATTACAGAACAAAACAAAATTTCGAACCAATATTTTTTTGTCGAACTAGTCGGATTCTAATACAGATATCATATATCGAATGTGAAATAAATAAAAAAAGTCTTTGTCAGATTGGTTACTTTAGTACACTTACATTAGGTCCGTTGTTTTCAAAAGTATTTCTAGTTTGTGCAAATATTTGTATATCAGTATAGGGATATAGAGTAACTAGTTTTGGAAATGTGTGTAGTACATTTGACCTCTACTATATATTATATAAAATTTATATAAGCCTAATTCATATTAATAATACATTAATATCTTTATTTTACAGTGTGACGTCAAATTTATCCCTCGACGTCATGTAACTTATGAAATTTGGCAAAAATAGATGATATTGAATAGCTTTCGCAAAACTCCACTCTCACGACCCGATTCCTCGAGTCATGATGACACCTACTATAACACACCAGTAGGCAGGGGCGGAGGCAACATATAATGAGGGGGTTCATCCGAACCCCCTCGGTGAAAAATATTACTATTTATACATGGTTAAAATTATTTTTTAGGTATGTATAATAGATGTTGAACCCCCTTCTACTAGTTCGTGCGTTTACTTCAGATTTTGAACTCCCTTATTAAAATTTCTGGCTCCGCCACTGCCAGTAGGTAAGCCAACCGGCAACAACAAGTAGCGGCTACAAGGATAGAACTACACAACAAATAACACTAATAGTAAGGAACGACATAAACAGAAGAAAAATGAATTTTGGACCAAACTAAGCCATTATTTAAACCAATTCACCAAAATAATACATTTTTCTTTTTATAAAACTAGTATAAATGTATTTCTTAGTAACGTTTTAGGGTTTTTTTATTTTAAAAATTTAATGGATAAAAATTGACGGAGGTGGAAACGTTAAATGAATAAACATTACCCTAAGTAACTTTTTAAGCCCAATACATAACCTAGGCCCACGTCAAATATTTTCAACCCACTCAAATAAACGGTGCCGTTTTTATTACCTCAATTATTTGTCACCTCAATTTCAAATCCATTTACCTAAAACAATAAAACCCTTATGCTACCAGCGATTCAAGAAATTTCCATCCCTTACAACTCCATTTTCAATTCTTGTTGTTACTAGAGGGCTTAGTATAGTGATGGATCAATCATTCTTTTGTTTGCAAGTGATTTTTTGGTACTAAACAATGCAATGGTTTCCTAATTTTGTGATTTTATATTTTTAGTATAGTGGTGGAATGTGGATCAATCATTCTTTTGTGATTTTATATTTTTCAGAGGACGAGCAATACCATATTGCTTGGAATAGAGTATTTGTTCTTTGTTTGAGGTATGTTTTTTTCTTATAAATTAGTAGAAAAAATGTTTGGATTTAAGAATCTCTATCTTCTCATATTTATATCGTTTTTGTTTTGTAGAATACTTCTGAATAGATTCAATCTAATATCTTTGATTCTTGTATGTCGTGTTCTTATTTAGAAAATTCATGTATGTTGTAAAGTGAACATTGAAAAATGCCAAATTGGAAAGAATCAACTCGACTCAATCAACAGTGACCCAAGAACAAACTCAATATTTTAAAAATCAAAACTCAACTTAGATTATTTATCAGATGCTTTGCTAGGCTAGTCTGTAATGCCATCGTTTATTACTAACATTATCTCAATCTAAAACAAGTATATACTATAACATTTTCTTCCAAAAGGTTAATTGCCTTAAAGAGCTCACAGGTAAACTATCTTAACTCAGCGGCATATGAAACAATGGTATGTATTAGATTCTGTGTGTTTGTGATTTATCTTTTGAGGAGAAATGAGGTACATGTTGATCATTTACATCCCCCTATTCGTAGGCGAGGAAAAGGTGGTGTTGCTGGTAGAAGGGCTCGTGCTGTTGAGAAAGAACGAGCGCTTATTGAAATGGACAAATCAGCCTCGGAAGATGATCACACAACTTGTGATATTGGTTCCATTTCAAGGGGCCAAACTCAGGAATTCACTCCCGGGGCATCAGGTATGACATATCAACCAACAAATACTGATATTGTTCCATACACGATGTCACATATATTAAGGAATCCAAGTCTTTCGTCACTTGAGAATCTATTTGGTGGTTCTTGGCCTCAACATTTTGAGAATACCCTTAGCTTTAGTTCATCACCTGGGCTGCCAATGTCCATTAAGACCCCTGATGTTGTTAATAATATAGAGGACTCTAACATTAATATAGAAAGTAATGAGTTGGATGATTCCAATGATGAAGTGGAGAATGCAAGAGAATGTGGTGAACCATCAGTGAAGGAAAAACGTACGATTTTTTCTAAGTGTTGTGGGACTGGTACTTTTAACATCTTTATATTATTTTTGACATAAATGCTCCTCTTTTTAGTTGAATAATTGAAAATTACCCTTGCTTGTCAGGGAGTCACTATCTTTACCAGCATGACAAAAAGAAACGAGCAAAGAGAAACAAAGAATTGTAATTGAGAGGTTTCAGGTATCTAAGCTTAACTAAAACTTGAAACTTTAGAGTTGTGAACTAAATGTGCTAAGACTTTTTGACAGGCTGAACCTGAAGTTTCACATTACATTGTACAATGATTCTGATGCTAATAGAAAATAGAGAGAACTTTTAGTGTCTTTATTTTTCATTTACTTTATATGATGCCCTGAAACGTTGGTCAGTGAGGATTCATAGCTGATACAAATTACTTTGTATGATGGCCTAGGGACATGTGTATTAATTACTATAATCGGCTGTGGTAGATTTTTTGATGGTCGGAAGAAACATGATCAGTGAGGATTCATATATAGCTTGTGCTAGGTGACTATTTGTGGCCCAAGGATTTGGAATTGGGGTCTTATATAATCTATGGAGGATGTTTTCTGTAGGATGAAATTTATGATTTTGACAAAGTACCTGCATTGGTAGCCCTTCATCTGAGCTACAATGAACAGAGCATATTTTATGGCCCTTTTGTGCAAGTAGTTTTAGAACTAGTTAAAAATCAACATTGTGTTCAGTTGGCTTAGAAAAAAACATTGTCATATCATTATTTATAATTTTTTGGTATGTATTATTTCACAAGAATTCTCTATTAACTCCTAATTTATGCAGAAATGAGCTATTGAGGCAGCGCAAAATGCTAACATGATTTTGTTTGAATACGAGCACATGCCATACTTGTTTGAGAGCTACAAAGTGGTCGCTGGGCGTATATTCTCAAAATACTATCTCGCCCTTTTGTAATTACGTTGTGAATCCTTCAAAGTTTGTGAATAGTGGTTTTTAGTACTCTATTAATAATGGAATTTAAATTTGAATTATGAAGTTAAATTTATATTCTTCAAGTTTGTGAAAGTGGTATTTAATATTATTAATAATTGTATAGTCTCAAACATTTCGAGTTGTTTGAAGTATTAGCAATCTGAGCATCCAATTATCTATTTTGTTTGAGGCATGGTTTGTGTTTTTCCAATGGTTATGGAAAGCAATTTTGCTAAGATGGGGTTTATAGTTCCACCTCTAATCAGCTAATGATATAAAGTTGATACAAATTACGTTATATGATGGCCTATTTGGTTAGTGAGAATTCATATAGTTTGCAAATTTTATAGTACTAGTTTTTCGACACGTGCGTTGCATGTGATTATCAATTAGAAAATTTAAGCAAAGATTTGAATTATAAGCTTTGCACAAAAGATATTTAGAAACATATTTCTACACCACAAGAGAAATTGTTAATAAAAACAAATAAATTTAGACTACAATAAAAATTAAACTAATACAAACTTCAACTGGCATTATTACAAATTATATAAACCTTTCTTCATCGAAAATAATTAAATATTAAGAAATAGTAAATCAATAAAACAAAAGGGTAATGTTTATATACTAATAAGTATTTTGAAGCAAACAACCTGACAATCTAAATCACATAAGTAGCATTGATAAATAAAGTCATTCTTTTGTCTTGAGCAGCAAAAAACAAATCATTCTCTAACTCTTGAGAAGTTCAATAATTTTTTAAAAAGATATTAAGAAGCATATAGCTACATCACAAGAGAAATTGTTAACAAAAACAAATGAATTTAGACTACATCATGTTAACTTCATATATTGGAACATTACATACTATTGTATATACTAATTAAAAAAATAATTATTATATCATCAGAATTGTTTTCCTCTAGTACTCGAAGTTAATGAATATTTGTTCTTATGATAGAACAATTTACTTCATCAGAATAGTGGTACCTCATATTCCGCTAAACTTCAAACTCACTCAACGACAATAAAATCACAACAAAGTGTAGCATGAACAAACATTTTTTGTGTCTTATCAGAAAAGTCATGACCTTTACAAGAAGTCACAACCCATTGGAAAAGTCACAACTTATTAAAAAAGTCACAACCATTTGGAAAAGATACAACTTATCTAAAAAGTCACAACTTATCTAAAAAGTCACAACTCATCGAAAAAGTCACAACCTAAGTTAGGGATATATGAATTTATACTACAATAAAAATTGAACTAATAAAAACACCAACTGGAGTTATTATAAGTCAGATGGACTTTCATTTCGTTAAAAATACTGAACTATTAAGAAATAGTAAATCGATAAAACAAAAAAGCAATGTTTATATAGTAATAACTATTTTGAAGCAAGCTTCGTGACAATCTAAATCACATAAGTAGCATTGATAAATAAAGTCATTCTCTTGTCTTGGGTACCAGAAAAACAAATCGTGACACTTCTCTAATTCTTGAGAGGTTGAATAATTTTGAAAAAAGATATTTAGAAGCATATATCTACATCAAAAGAGAAATTGTTAACAAAAGCAAATGAATTTAGACTACAATAAAAATTAAACTAATACAACTTCAACTGGCATTATTACAAGTCATATAAAGTTTTCTTCGTCGAAAATACTTAAATATTAAGAAATAGTAATTCAATAATATAAAAAGGGAAATGTTTATATAGTAATAATTATTTTGAAGCAAACAACCTAACAATCTAAATCACATAAGTAGCATTAATAAATAAAGTCATTCTTTTGTCTTGAGCATCAAAAAACAAATCGTGACAATTCTCTAAATCTTGCGAAGTTTAATAAATTTTAATAAAGATATTCAAAAGCATATATCTACATCACAAGAGAAATTGTTAACAAAAACAAATGAATTTAGACTACATCATGTTAACTTCATTTATTGGAACATTACATACTACTGTATATACTAAGAAAAAAATAAATATTATATCATTAGAATTATTTTCCTCAAGTACCCGAGGTTAAGGAATGTACCCTCTTACGATAGAACAATTTACTTCATCAGAATAGTGGTACCTCATATTCCGCTAAACTTCAAACTCACTTAGCGACAATAAATCACACAATTTTTTTAAAATGCAAGTAGAAGAAGAAGAGTAGAAGATTAAAAAAAATTGTGGCTGAAAAATGAGAGGAAACCCCTCTATTTATAGTTAACAAAGGGTAGTATGAACAAATATTTTTTTGTGTCTTATTGAAAATTCATGACCTTTCCAAGAAGTCACAACTATTTGAAAAAGCACAACTCTTTGGAAAAGTCATAAGTCATCGAAAAATCACAACCCTTTGAAAAAAGTCACAACTTATCAGAAAAGTCACAACTCATCGAAAAAGTCACAACCTAAGTTAGGGATATTATAGTAATTTAACATTCCAGTTAGGAGTTCATGCTTTTAAGGTAATATATAAATATAAATAATAACCATTGGGAGGTCTCATTCTTTCTCTATATTTTTTTTACTTTCATATTTCTGTTCTCCTTAGACAGAGGTGATTATAGTTAAGGTCAACACATTAAGTAGATACATTGCTAAATCCGTTCAATAGTTCGATAAAAAAAAATCAAGTACACCAATCTTGTTATTGTGAGTAATGTTTTACATTAAACTTTATTTTTTTTTACAAAACTAGTAAAAACGTACTTCTTAGTAACGTTTTAGGGCATTTTTATTTTAAAAATTCAATGGACAAAAACTGACGGGGTTGGCGACGTTAAATGAAAAAAAGTTACTGTGAGTAATGTTATAAAGCTAATACGTTACTCTGAGTAATGTTTTATAAAACGTTACTGTGAGTAAAACGTATTATTTTGGTGAATTGGTTTAAATCAAATTACAGAACAAAACAAAATTTCGAACCAATATTTTTTTTGTTGAACCAGTCGGATTCTAATACAAATATCAGATATCGAATGTGAAATAAAAAAAAAGTCTTTGTCAGATTGGTTGCTTTAGTACACTTACATTAGGTCCGTTGTTTTCAAAAGTATTTCTAGTTTGTGCAAAGATTTGTATATCAGTATAGGGATATAGAGTAACTAGTTTTGGAAATGTGTGTTGCACATTTGAACTCTACTATATATTATATAAAATTTATATAAGCCTAATTCATATTAATAATACATTAATATCTTTATTTTACAGTGTGACGTCAAATTTATCCCTCGAGTTCATGTAACTTATGAAATTTGGCAAGAATAGATGCTATTGAATAGCTTTCGCAAAACTCCACTCTCACGACTCAATTCCTCGAATCATGATGATACCTACTATAGCACACTAGTAGGTAGGCCAACCCGTAACAGCAAGTAGCGGCTACAAGGATAGAACTACACAACAAATAACACTAATAATAAGGAACAACATAAACAAAAGAAAAACCAAAAACTAAAAATATTATATATATACCCTCCCATGTAGGTGATGATCTAATTAAAGATTACTCAGATTGGCAATTTGGGGTTTCAAAAAAATTGATTCTTTTACTATACTCTGGTCATATGTATACTAGTAAAATTTATAGTTAGTGAAGTTTGGATGGTCACTCCTTACCTTTATCTTCTAGTTTTAAATGCAAACAACCTTGGGTACATCATGAAAGTTGACTACACTTCTTTTGAGCCGAGGGTCTATCGGAAACGATCTCTATGCCCACAAAGGCAGGGATAATGTTTGTGTACATCTTACCCTCCCTCAAACCCCACTTGTGACATGGAAACTGAGTTTGGTGTTGTTGTTAAAATGAGTGTGTTATTAGGTTTTGAGAGCATTTAAGTAGATTTACTTCTCCTTCCTTATACCAACCGAAAATAATCTAGATGTAGAGATTGTTTCATCTTCTCTTGCCGACTATCATGTTAATTGGTAATGAATTCTTGTAATTTTCACTTGGCATTAAATGCAAGATTTTCCCTAACTAGTATAACATATTATCTTTCAGCAAACCAAGTCTTAAATATGTTGGTTTTTAAAAGGTGTGAATGAAAAATGAAGAGTTATGACTTTTATGAAGAGTTGTGACTTTTATGAAACGTTGCGAATTTTATGAAGAGTTGTGAATTTTACGAAGGGTTATGACTTTTGACTTCTCCAAAGGATTGTGATCTTTCTGATAAGGTACAATAAGCATATGTTCACACTACCC